CATTCACCTTCTTCATACAGAACACGAGGCGCAACGTTTCGGGTCACATGATCCCCTTCATCAGGTGAAACAGAGCGCACGCTATACACAGCAGCTGTGACCCAATCCAAAGAGTCCCTGTGACATCATCGTGACATCATCGTCGTGACTGAACCGCCTGGTACCCCCGACTGGGGACCGCCGTCACAAATCAGCTTCCCCGAATCCCAGAGTCCTCAGCCCAAACCTGACTCATTATTGAACGGAACCAGAACGCTAAACCCCTCCCCCAAACAATCCCCTCCCCCGATGCCTTAAAGGAGAAGTACGGGGTCAGTGTTGTTCCCCATAGTCCTCCTCGGGGTCATATACTGGCGTCCTCCCGTCACCCCAGGCTCAGTATATAGCAGGCTACAGCTCGCCATATACTGAGACGCCGCAGCCGGGACAATTGTGCCAGGATCCGCCCAGCTGTGTGAGTGACAGCCGGCTCCTCCCATCTAGAGGCAGAGCCAGCTGTACCCGCCCCCCTCCCCCGTCCGTTCCGCCAGTCAGGGGAGGGTGGGGGATCTCTGCAGGGACAGGATCGAGAGGCGAGCGAGCGGCGGTATGTGGTCTCTCACAGGTGGATGTCCCAATCAGCTGAGACATCCACCTGGGGTGTGAGCAGAAGACCAGACGGGCCCCTGACAGACCTGGGGCCAATGTGCCCAGTGAGCTTGGGTAGGAACGGTGGGGGGTGGGGAAAGTATTCTTGAACGATGGCCTCACGGATCCACCTAGAAATGGTGGAAGCTGGGGGCCCTTCCTGGGGCCCCTCCTCCATGACTTAGGGCTGAGAGAGAGACCCTGACACCACGTCCAACCCATGAGGGGAGAGCGAGGAATGTCTGCGGTCATCTCTGTGATGCTCGGGGCCCTGCGAGGTGTATGGAGTGTGGCCGAGGCACCGAGGGCCCCAACTGTCTCCGTCTTCTCTGCCGTTGGGTTTGGCCCAGCGCTCGGCTCCAATGAAGGGGCAGATTTCTAATCGGGACCTTTTATTTAGGGGCCACCCATGGGGCTCCCTCTCTGTCCTGACCCGGGCCCCAGCGGGAGGTTTCCCTTCGTGGTTGGGATTTCCGGGGTCTCTCAGGAAACCACGCCCCCTTGTTTGTCATTGGCCCCAGGAAGGGCCCCCAGCTTCTTCTTCTCCCACCATTTCTAGGTGGACCTGTAAGACCATCGTTCAAGAATAGGCCCTCCCACCGTTCCTATCCAAGCTCACTCCATCAGGTCATTGGGCCCCCAGGTCTGTCAGGGGCCCGTCTGGTCTTCTGCTCACACCTTCTCTACGTTTGCCCCAGGTGGATGTTTCTGCCTCATGTAAAGTTGTGCGGGAAGCGGCGTGCAGTGTATGGGGGAGGGGCGGGGGGTCCTGGTTCTGTTGGGTTGGTGTTCTGTTGCCCGATGTGGGGGAAACCTAAGGGGGGAGGGGTTATCACATCTGAAGCGGTCGCCCACAGTAACCAATCAGCTTCTCTCTTCCGTTTCTTCAGTTAAGCTTTGAAAATGAAAGGTGGAAGCTGATTGGTCGCCCCGGACAACGGCCCCAGATCCTGTCTGCTCCGGTGTTGATGAATCCCCCCTCGTCTTGTCTTTCAACGGGTGACATCTTCTGTATATGGATTCCGAGAATATTATTTTATTTTTGGTGAGTTCCAAAATCTGAATATTTCCCTTATTTTG